CTAAAACCGAACCACCAAAGGTCCTGCTGCACCATGTGTGATTCAGTCAGTGTGATGGTGCGAGCGGCTCCGTCCCTGGTGATCTGCAGGCCAAGGTAGCGCTGCAGTTCACTGAGGTCAGTACACGTGTGTCTCTTCTGCAGTTCGGACTTCACCTCAGACAGAGCTGCCCTGTCTGTTGTAGCAAAGACTAAGTCGTCCACATAAACTAGTATAAAGAAAGGAGTGGAACCAGCGCGAACTAACAATGATGGGTCGGCAGAGGAAGGACAAAACCCAAGGTCACGAAGCGTGGAGCGAAGAGTGCCGAGCCACTCACGGGGCGACTGGCGGAGACCGTAGACTGGTCGCCTCAAGCTCCACTGGGTCCCAAGTGGGAAGGTGTCAATGAAGCCAGGATGACAACGCAGCCAGATCTCCTCGTGTAGGCGGCCCGAGAGAAACGCAGTGGAGAAGTCGAGGGAGTGCAACTCGTAGTCTCGCTGTGCTGCTACGTGCAGTGACACCCGAAGAGTATTCATCTTCGGGTTTGGGGCGAAGGTCTGGAAGAAGTCAACTCCCTCACGCTGACTAAAACCCCTAGCCATGTAGCGCGCTTTGAGCACGGGCGGTGAACCAGGCGACCGCTTCACCTTGAAGAGCCACATGCCATCAACAATGTTCGCCCTGGGAGGGGGAATTGCGTCGTCGTAAGTGTTTGTGGATCTCCAAGACGCTAACTCTTAATCCATAGCCGCTTTCCACTTTGAGGCCCACTCCTCTGACACTGCCTCACGGTACGTGCAAGGTGTCGGTATGTTAAGGGCGTCGGGGTCTCCCTTAAGGGAAAGCAGCATGGCGCAGAGAGAGGGGGAAGCAGCTGCCAAAAACTCCAGCTCAAACTGCCTGTCCTCTAGGACGTCACAGCTAAGGGCTGACTCACCCCTGATGGAGCAACCACCACACATGTGGCGTAGTCAAGACGGCGGGTGGAAGCAAAGTTAGCAACAGTGCTAGTAAGAGCCAAGATAGACGACGGAGAGGCACAAGGGTCGGTAACAAGAGTGGCATGGACACAGGAGACAATAGGGCGAGTAGCACGGTAGTAGTCAGTGATAGGGTGAGAGGAAACGGTGAGAGACGACTCAATATGTGAGGGGAGAACATACACAGGTGGAGAATGACGAGGACTAGAATGAAACAAGGTAGTGCGGAGGTCGGCAAGAGGAGACGAGGGTCGAGCACGCGGAGGACAACGACTGGTCCAGTCGTGCGGGACAACAGGAGGAGACGACTGTGACTGAGGAGAGTAAACAGCCGGAGTCGGGTCCGGAAGAGGAAATGTAGGACCGTATGTAGTAGGAGATTGGGAACGGACAGGATGAGAGGATGGAAGACCAAGGGCCCAAAGGCCACTCACTGGAGGGAACAACTGCTGCAAAGGTGACGGCTGCTGCTGCCGCTGCCGCCACCGTCGCTGCTGCTACTGCTGCTGCTGCTGCTTCTGTTGTTTCTGCTGATGTTGCTGGTCCAATTGCTGCAGCTCCTGCCTCTCCTGCTCCAACCACTCCTGCTCCTCGCGCTCAAGCCGGCAAAGAGCCAAGATAGACGGGTTGGTGAAACCTCTGGCCGCGAGACACGAGGCTGGAGGTTCACCTGGTGTGTGGCGTAGCGAAGCGCGTAGGGCCACAGAAAGTGGGGCGCACGAGCATGGATCATGGACGTACGAGCGATGTCCATGACCAAGCAAATGCGGTGCTCAGCAACCCCATTTTGTTGTGGGGACTCCGGCAGTGTCCAGGACTATCTGATGCCCTGCTCGCCGCAGATGTCGGCAAGGACGCCGTAGCGAAACTCACCCCCACGGTCAAAGTGGAGACAACGGGACTACCACAACTGTCTCAGTGGCCAAAAGCCACCAGAACAGACTAGAAGTCACCTTGGACTTCTTCGCGAGAGGAAACACCGTGGTGTACCTGGAGTAGTCGTCAACGACCACTAGAAAGTAGCGCTCCCTCTCAGGTCCGAGCGTAGGGGCAAGGCCCCAGACGTCCAGGTGGAAAGTTTGGATGGGAGCAGTGGCTGGACGAAGGGAGGAGTGCGGAGTGACGCGCACGCAGCCGGCGATGCAAGGAGTGCAAGGTGCAGCAAGTGAGGGAGGGAGCGACGGAAAGACGCGCGGGAGACCTGAGACAAGACTGTGACCGGCCATGCTGCGGAGGCAGGGGAGCGACAGGTGGCCAAGGCGGTGGTGCCACAAGACGGCTGGGTGGGCTAGGGATCGACAGGAGCAAGACGCAGCAACTAGATTGGACACAGCAACCTGACTGGACACAGCAACCTGACCGGACACCGCAACCTGTGGGGACGCAGTAACCTGACCGAACTTTGCTACCAGGGGGGATGAAGCAACCTGACCAGACGCAGCTACCTGCGGGGGCGGAGTGTATAGGACGATGAGACCTGAATGGGGCTCTCTGGTGAATGTGGCAAGAACTGCCCCGGTGGAAGAGTCCGTACAGGTCGCAGTCCTCCCATGCGCAGCAAAAGTGATTGTGATCCCCCGGTTCTAAAGGTATCCAATACCCACCAAGTTCTGAGAGAACGAGGTGATGTAGAGGTCAGTGAGGAAACCAGAGGGGACAACTAGGGACGGGAGAGTGGTCGAGCTGCAAGCAACTGCTGGTCCTGAAGTAGGATCAGCCAAGGCAGCTGGGACTGGAGCCGAAAGAGGCGTGACAGTAGTGTGGTCGCGGAAGAAGCACTGAGACGAGCCGGAGTCCAGTGTGAACGAGAGTGACGCAACACGTCACGGTTCGGCTAGTGACTGCACAAGCACCTAAACTAAAAGCACAAGTTCCTACACTAGCAACAGGCAAAGGTCCTAAAAGGGGCCACGAGCGATGCGACGGGCTGGGGCGGAGGCACGATATGGAGGGCGTGGAGGGCGCGTAGGGGAGGGCTAGGCGTGGAGGCGCGGAGGGCGCGTTACAGAGGGCGCTTTACGAAGGGGGTGGAGGGCGCTAGGGCGCGTGACAAAGGGCGCGGAGGGCGCGAAGGCACTCTAGAGCGCGGAGGGCGCAAGGGCGCGGAGGGTGCTAAGGCGCGTGACAAAGGGCGCGTGAGACGCGGAGGTGCTCTAGGGCGCGGAGGGCACGAGGTAGGCTAGGCTAGGCAAGGATTCTAAACCTACTCGTGATACCATCCCAGAAATGGAATGCAAAGGAATGCTATGACTAAGAAAGCAAGGGAGTTCAAATATGAAACCCTACCTGAATTGTACTCACTAAGGAGCACCTCACTGCAGCCTATAACAAATTATACCATTTGACACAATATGGTACAGACCAGGGCTCTCGTTATCAGACCAAATTGGTCTGATTTTCTGATTTTCAGACCTTGATGTTGGGTTTCATCTGATTTTCAAGACGATGATTTTTACTTCGTCTGATCCGTAAGATTACGAATTTTAGTTCATCTGATTTTTCAGAGCAGGCCTTATACTTAGTCTGAAATTTCAGATAGCGGGTTGCAATTCGTCTGATACCGAACCCCGTCCCCCCGCCCCCCCCCCCCCCACCGTTCCCTCACTTCTCTAACAGCTCAGCCCCCCTTTTGAAGCCCTCGCTCCTCTTCCAGGCCTAGTCCAGACCTTCTCCCCCTTCCCCCCAGCCTTAGGTCCCCTCCCCAGGTCCCCTCCCCATGCCCCTTGTGAAGTCTCACAACAGCCCAGCCCCCCAATTCCTTCTCGCGTCCCTCCACTCCACCCAACTTGATCCGTCGCAGCACCTCAATGCCACATGCATGCCCCTCAACAGCCACACGCCTGTCAGCTAGCGAGCTGTCAGCGCCGCGCCAGGGGCGCAAAACCAAGTGCGATTATGCTAGACAAGGGTGTCAGCTGAATCAGACTATGCAAATTTAATAGTCTGAAAAATCAGACTAAGCTCCAACATTCGTCTGGAAAATCAGACCAGAAAAATATGCCCGTTTGATCGTCAGACGGAACGATTTTTTACTTCGGTGTTTTCAGACAGGCCCAAATCCTAGCAAGAGCCCTGGTACAGACCGCAAGGGACAGGATTAGTACCAATACAGTATTCTTGATGGAGGGGGTTCGGAAACTTGCTCGCCTGCAACTTGGGACTTGGGCGTGTCCAAGGGCGTGTTACATTTTTTGAATTCGTTGAAAGTCCGGACGGCTGTCTGGGCGAGTGCGAAAATTGCGACGTTGCACGGACGCGTTGTGACCAATGCGATGTTGTAAGGAGGCAGTACGAAAAATGCGACGTCGCTTAAACGCTGACGTACTCTCTGCCGAGTTTTACTAAGTTTCGTAACCACACAATCGTCTGGTCGGAAAAATGAAAAATGTAATTCGCCCTAGGTCTGGTTTAAGAGTTTGGAGGTGTCACTCACAACACCCACCATTAAAACTTCTGTGGGGTGGGGATCCCCTGCACAGTTCACCGGTCAACTTAGGTTGAACAATTTGGGCCTTGAGCTTCAAAGTGACATTTGTTTATCCACCAGAGATTATCTGCCTGTTCACCCTCGGTTTCTGCCAGGTTAAGTTTATCTAATCCAACCCATACATAATCAAATACCAGTGGCCCAGCCTGTCCCATCTGCCCGCATGCTCTCCATGTCTCTGCGTTCTTACGAACTACAGTACTTCACTATGATTCCTCTCTACTAATGCGTCTCCACAAAGACACTCACATCAACAGCCCTGCTCAGCCCGCTTTCCTTGAGAACCAGAACCTCTGGTTGGGCAGGGGTTTTTCCAGGCAACTACCAAAAGTGGGCACCCTACCCTACGTGCTGACTAAAGAGCCAGCAACGGGGTCTGGTGGTGCTACATGCTAACATGTGCGGGCGAAGCAAGGCGAGGGGAGGAGGAGAGGTAGGGCAGAGAGGACAGCCGAGGAAAGGAGGCCCTGGCAGGATCACGTTGCGTGGTGGTGCCATGGCAGGGAGTGCGAGCAAGCAGACACAGCAGGAGGCGCGCCGAGGTGTGCCTAAGCAGCAGCTGTGGCAGCAGCGGGGGTGGCAGCGGGGGCGAGGGTGCGTCGCTTGTATCGCACCATGACAGGGCCCTTGGGCCCCACGACAAGCGAGTCCCAGTCCACCGGGGGGAAGGGCGTGATGAGCTCCAGCTCAAAGTTGCGCAGCAGCACACTCCACACCGTCTTGCCCTGTTGGGAGGGGAAGGGAGGGAGGGAGGGAGGGAGGGAGGGAGGGAGGGGGGGAGGGAGAAGGAGGTGCATGAAGGAGATGGTGCAAGGGAGGCGAGGGGATGGGCGAGGGGAAGGGACGGTGAGGGTGGGTAGAGGAGCAGCAGCACACTCCACACCGTCTTGCCCTGGAGGGGAGAAAGGGGGAAAAGGGGGCGGGGGGGAGGAGGTGCACAGGAGAGAGGTGCGCAAGGGGGGTGGGGGCGATGGGAGAGGGGAAGGGACGAGAAGGGGCATGCAGAAAGGCGTCACCAGCTTCAGCTCAAAGTTGCGCAGCAGCACACTCCACACCGTCTTGCCCTGTTGGGAGGGGAGGAGAAGGGAAGGGGGGAAATAGGGGGGTAAGCGGGGGAATGGGTGAAAAGGGAAAGGCGTGCACAGGGAGTCGAGGGGGGATAGGAGAGGGGAGGGGACGGGGGGAGGTGGGTAGATGAGGGGAGGGGAGACAGGGAATGTGAGGCAGGGAGTGTGAGGAAGTTGGGTTTAAGTACAACCATTGACGGACGAATGTCAAAGCACGTGGCAAGGAATGTGGGAGATGTTTGGTTTTACTGCAACCATCTCACAGTATCCTGTTCTCCAGTCCCTCCGACTCCCAATTTCCCAACTCTCATCATCAACCTTCCTCCCTCTCACTCTCCTGCTTCTCACTTCTCACCTCCCTTGCTCCTCTCCCCTCCTAAAACACTCCCTCCTCCCCTTTGACCCCCTGCCCCCGTCTCGTCTCCTTCCCCTCTCACCTGCATGAAGGCGCTCCCCATTCATCCGCGGCAAATTCTGTGTGGACTAAAAATCACCTCAACCCCCGACCCTCCACTTTCTCTCTCCCCTCTCCACACAACCTCCCACCCCTCCCGCACCTGCATGTAGGCGAAGTTCTCCCCCATGCACCCGTGGCGGCCACCACCGAAGGCGGTGAAGGAGAAAGGCATGGCGCGGTCCTCCTCGCGCCCCGCAGCGAAGCGGTCCGGGTCAAACTCGTCGGGCTTGCTGTAGATGTACCCCAGCCTGCCGTACCATGGCCGGGATGGGGAGGGGTGTGGCAGGGGAAGGGGCATGATAGGAAACTAAGAGGTGAAGGATGGTGCAAAGCGGTCCGGGTGGAATTCGTCGGGCTTGCTGTAGATGTACCCCAGCCTGCCGTGCTTCAAGAGCCACGCGCAAGCACAGGGATACGCCAGGGAAGGGACGTGGCAGGTGCGGGGTCAACAGGGCAACGTAGGGGGAATGGTGAGGAGGGGGATGTTGAAGTGATAAGAGGTGCTGTGAGACCTTCCATACTGACACGCTTGCTGTGGGTGCACAATCAGAGGGCCCCCTCAACCCCCTCATCAGCCGGTCTGCCAGGCGGCCAGACCCAGCGCTTGCCACACCACAGGTGCCAACGACATAACATCGCAGACAGGAACGATTTCAGAGAATTCTCTAAAGTGGTTCCTTGCTACCATATGACTCTTTGGCTTTGGCCCTCCACATGCAGCCGTGGGCCCAGGCCGTGTTTCCTCTTACTCATTACGCCAACCACTTAGGCCGTGTTGCCCCGCGTGTTCCTCCCCGATGCCCCCATTCCTACTCCTAGTAAGCATGCCTTGCCAAGCCGGTCAAGCCGGTCAAGCCGGTCAAGCCGGTCAAGTGGGTCAAGTGGGTCAGGCCTCAGATAGCGTGCTCACCCCATTCAACACCACCATGTACCCTTCCCTCTCCTCCCCCCTCCCACCTCTCACCTGTTGCTGAAAGCGGGCGCGGCAGCAACGACAGTCCCCTTGGGCACAGTGTACGTGTTGCCCTCATGCCCGGTGACGGTGAAGGGCTGCTGCGCGTAGCGGAGCAGCATGACGAGCGGCGGGTGCAGGCGCAGCACCTCCTTCATGACGCGGTGCAGCGAGTCCATCTCGCTCAGCACGTCGTAGTTCAGCGTGCCCCCGTGCCGCCCCATCACCGCCTGCTGCTCTGCCACCACGCTCGACAGGATGTCGTCACGCCGGCTGGAAAATTGGGGAGGGTAAGGGGAGGGAGGAGGGAGGAGGGAGGGAATGGGAAGAGGGGGAGCGGGGGAGAGGAGGGCGGTTGAGGAATGGGAGGGGTGGGAGTGGGAGGGGTTCCAGGGTTGAGTGATCGAAATTTGCGTGCAGAGAGGGAAAGAAGGAGTGGGCGTGGGACAAGTGAGGGCAGGTGAGTGCATGGGGTTTAGTCCCATCCCATCCCATCCCATCCACCTCCTGCGCCACCGCCCCGTCCTACTGCATCCCGCCCCACTCAATTCCATCCCCTCCCCTTCCCACCCCCTCTCTCTTCCTCAACCCTCCACCGCCCACCGTCCCCGATCCTCCCGTTCCATCCCTTTCCCTTCCCTCCATTTCCTCCTAGTTCACCCCTCCCCCCTCCCCCCCCCCCCTCTCTTTTTTCCGCCCCAGCCCCCCTCTCTTTTTGCCGCCCCAGCCCCCCGGAGCGCGCACGTGAGGAGGTAGGCGCCGACCCAGGTGGCGGTGAGCGAGGAGGTGTGCTGGCCGCCGAAGAGCGCGGCGATGAGCATGCCCGCGCACTCCTCCTCCGTCGTGCTGCGGTTCAGCAGCTTGTACCGGCTGTCTATGAACACCTGCGCGCGCCGGGGCGGAGGAGAGAGGAGGGGACGGGAGAGTAAAAAGGGGGGGTGGAGGATTGAGGGGGGAGCAGCTTGTACCGGCTAACTTTGCACACGTGCCGGGAGAAGGGGGGAGGGGGGTGCGAGGGGGGCGCGTAGAGAAAGAGGGGGGTAGGGGAGAGGGGTTTAGGGGAGACTTGGGGAGGGGAGAGGGGGGTACGGTAGAAGCGGGAGGTGAGAAAGCCGGAGGGGTTGGGGAGAGTTGAGGCCCAGGTAGGGAAGAACGGGAGAGGGGGAGTGGTGGGGAATGGGGGATGGAGAGAGGAGGGGGAAGAGGGGTTGAGGAGGTAGTGAGGGAGAGAGGGAGGAGAGGGCTAGAGCAGGAAAGGGGGAGTGTGAGGGAGGAGGGGAATGGAAAGGGAAGGGTGCGGAGAGGGTGTGGGGGATTGGAGTGCACACGGCGGTAGAAGGATGGGAAAGGAAGAATGGGGGAGGGATCTGAGTGGAAACGGAATTGTGAGGAAAAGGGGAACAGGGTGAATGGAAAAAGTGAAGGGTGAAGGAGAAAGGTTGAAGCGGAAGGGGTGGAGGAGGAAAGGAAGAGGTGGGGTATGTGTGTTCTGGAAAGGCCAATCTACAGCGCTGCCACGATCTGCTGCCCGCTCCTCACATGCCCCCCACCGCCTCACACCCACCCACGCCCCTCCCCTTCCCCCGCCACCCGCCTCACACCCACTAGCGCCCCACCTTCCCCCCCTCCACCCGCCTCCCCTCACTCCACCCGCGTCTCACCTGCAGCATGTCATTCTCGACGCGCCCCGACTCCTTGCGCGCGCGCACGATGCGCCCGAAGATGCCCGCCAGCTCCTTGCGCGCCTCGTCGCGGCGCTTGTGCGCGGGGATGGGCAGGTAGGGGAAGAGGACACTGCGAAGGGCGGCGGGTGAACGGAGTGCGGAAAACGGAAAGGGAGGAGAGAGGGAGAGGAGGGGATGTGGGGGGGGAAAGGGGGGTTGAGGGGGAGGGAAAGGGGTAAGGGGGGGAATGGGGTGGGGGGAAGGGGGAGGAGGGTGGGTTGGGAAGTGGTGGTGGGGGAAAGGATGCAGACGAGGAGGCAATTCGTAATGGCGATGGAGACACGGATGCTTTCGACAGACAACACAGTGCAGACGCTTCTCTTGAGGTTCTGATTGAGAAGGCAGCAGGGAAGCAGTGGGACGGCAGTGGGGCCCACGTGATGCACGACAGTGGTGTGATTCGATGGCGCAGCGCGGGCGGCGGACAAACGCAGTGCGCGTGCGGCGCGCAGAGACGACGCGTTGGCTGGATGGCCGGTTGGTATGCGGACGAGGAAGCGGAAACGACTCGTAAGTGGCGCGCGTCGCGTCGACAAGGCGCGACGACGACGACGACAAGGTTGGCAGCAGGGTCCAGTGCGGTACAAGGCGGTGAGCCAGCCGGCCTGTACGGTGTTGTTGTTCGACTTGTTGATAGCAGGTCCACGGCAGGGAGTGGTACGGGGGACATGAGCAAGAGGAGTAGCCGACGGCAGCGCTGCCAAGGTAACAACAATACAGGTCGCCCTTTGTTGGCACGGCGGCGCGCACGATCAATTACACCAATAATCTTGCTTCTTATGGTTTGTGTTCAGCCATTTGGTCTCACACGCACACGCACACGCATTCGTACGCACATCACGCGCGCGCGCGCACCTGATGGGCAGCATGCCGAGGTCGAGCGTGTGGAAGAGGTCGGAGACGCGGTCCGCCATTCCCTCACGCACCTCGCGGCCCAGCAGGCAGCGACTGGCAGTGAGGATGATGAGGCGCGCCATGGCGTCCTTGAGATCCACCTCGCCCTCGTCCCCCCACTGCGAAAAGAAATCCTGCGCGCGGGGAGACACGAGAGGGGGACACGGGGGGACAAGGGGCGGGGGGCGGGGGGGCGGGAGAGAGAGGGGAGGGAAGTGGGGGAAGAGGGGACGAGGTTCAAGAGAGAAAGTGAGAGGAAAGTGGGCGAAATGGTTGCTGAGATAATGGGCATGAAGGGTGAGACTCTTTTGAGGGTGTGGGGACCGGGAACGAAGCGCATGGATGCAATGCAGTGGTGCGATTCAATGGCGACGGGATACTCGAGCTCGCGAAGGCGATCCGCGGAACGGGCTACACGAGCGACAAGCGAAAAACGACGCGTGATCGGCGACGGGGGCGGCGGCGCGGCAAGATCGAGATCCAGAAAGCCAGCAGCAAGGATATTTGCTTTTGGGGACAGAAATGCGGAAGCACAAGGGCGCAAGGGGCGAAGAAAGAACGAGGACGCCAGGGAAAAGGCGGCAGGCGAGACCAGCACAAGAGATGCAAAACTTGAAGCGGAAACCGGACACACGACACCGAAGCACGATCGTCACACACGGATCTCACCCGATCCCGCCCGTCACCCTCACCGCCACAACCATCACCCATCGCCATCCCAATCCCCATCGCCCTTATCCCCGCCGGCGCGTCGCGCTCACCTGCGCCTCCTCCACCATCATATCGACGTAGGTGCGCAGGCGCGTGGGCTTGAGCGAGTCGGCGAAGAATCGGAACTGCTCCATGCGGATGGGGTAGTCGACGTCGAACACCACGCCCGGGCCGAACGTGGGCACGTTGTACTTGTACACCTCGCGCTGACTCAGCTGGTCCTCCGACGCCTTGTAAAAGTGCGTCGTCGCCTCGGGCCCGATCAGGAACGTCATGCGCATGTGGAGAACGTTCACCGTGAACACGCTGCCGTACTTGGCGTACGCGTCTTTGATCAGCGGAATCGGGCCTTTCATGAATTTTAGCAGCCCGCCGATGAGCGGGATGGTCGGGACCACGGGCGGTTGCTTTCCGCCGCCGCTGCGGAACCATCGCGCGACGACCACGGCGAGGATCGCGGCAACTAGGAGGGTCGGTGCGAGGGATTTGAGGAGAGCGAGCGGCCCGGAGGATTCTAGGAATGCGGCGTTGGCCGTGGCGTTGCCAATGCCGGCTTCAATGCCCTCTGCCATGGCTGCAGCTGCCTGCGGCTGGGCAGCGAGGATCTGAGCAGCACGCAGAATGCAGCACGCAGATCACGAGACAAGTGGATCAGGGCAACAGAAGGATCGAGCTCCTGCTAGAGAGAGAGATAATAGAAAGGAAGGTATTCAACGTTCTTTGCAGCTGCATGTGAAGGGGTTTGCGATTGATACAATCAACTCTCAAGGCGTGTTCAGAGCCATTTCCTCGTTTCTGAGCTGTACACATGATGCCCAACCAGTGCACGCGAATTTGCCCTGGACCGGATGGAAACGCTGCACCCGAGGTCTTTTCCCTAACCTGTTGCACCCACGATACAAGCGCGTCGCGTGGTTATGGACCATTAGTAACAAACAGACTGAAGTCAAACTGAAGAGACTGAAGTCAAAATGTCAACGGATAAGGTTACAGATACTTAATATAAGCACCTGCGAATCCTTTTTAGCTAGCTGCGAATTGACGAGACTTATGCGAAACGCTTGATACAGCTTATACGCCTTCTTCACAAGGCAACCAGGAGGGGCTCAAACAGGCATCAATTGTACAGAGAGCGCCTTGCTTGACTGCTCGGTGAAATCTAGCTGGGATCTTCGTTACTAGGGGATGTTGGACATGTGGGACCACTCAACCGAAAGCGCGGAAATTGTGGGGCACGGAACGGGAAGGTAAATGAAATGTGCGGCCAAGGCCACTTCCCAATCGCTCTCGCAAATCATCACAGGTTAGCCCTTTTCCGAGCCCAATCAACGTTTGTCAAGTTGGCAGTGATGACATTCATAACCGATCAATTACTGCTGTACCACGTCGGATAATGTGTCCCCTTCCCACATTCGAGGTCCAGCTCATTCTCGAACCAATGACAGTCGAGTTCAAGGCTCCAGCTATGGCGAGGGGGCTCGAGGTTCGCTGATCCAGAAGGCGGGAAAATGAGTCAGCGGAGTATCAATGGTGAGGGCGCGCTCGTATCGGAAACGATCTCGAGATAGTGCCTTCTCCCCACATTGCTGTCACGCCTAGCATATCCGATAAGGGACAACCCAGTACTAAAATGTTATTTGCCATCAGCTCTACATGTAAAGTAGGAGGGCAGTAGACACCAGAAACACACAACCGAAAAAACTTCTCCCTTGCCCTGTTGACCTCCTGTCTTGGAACACTTCTTTTTACGCGCAGCCAATTTTGCAACTTGCAACTAGTATCTACCGCATAGAAACTCCGTTTCTCGTGGACAGCCATGTCGCCGCACCCTCCCGCGCCCGCCTCGTCGTCGAACGCGACGGTGGAGCTGGGCGCGGCGATCGAGCGGTCGCTGTCGCGCGTGCACGAGTTGGAGCGCACCGTCTCGCTCTTCCACGAGTCCAACCAGCTGCTCCTCCTCGACCGCATGTCCGTCGCGTTCCTCCTTTCGCTCTCGCGCGTCGCGTTCTGCCAGCCGCTGCGAACCGCAAGTAGCCAAAAATTTCCTCGCGCAGCCTTTAGAGTGGACGCGAAGAAGACACCTAGTCCGTTTCGGGGAGACGCAGCTAGTATCTATTCCTACTTACCTCGCTCTGCTCCTCTTCTATCTCCTGCGTTCCTCGCTTTCCTTGGTCTCGCCCCCCAACATGCAACGCACGCCAGTCCATGACTCCAATCGACCTGTCTCCTGCGCGCTTCTCCCTCGCTCGTGTTTCTCGCTCTCTCACCCACTCCCATCTCCCATTTCCCATCCCCGCGCCAGCCTCTCAAGCTCCGCTCCACCTGTCCCTCTCCTCTCTCTTCTCCTCCCCGCTTCCATCCCCCCCGCCCCCCCCCCGCCCCCCCCCCCCCCCCCCCCCCCTCCCTCTCCTCCCCTCCTCCCAACGCTCTCCCCCCGCGCCAGCAACGGCCTGGTCACGGGGTTCGCGGAACTACTCGGCGCAGCGGAACAGTGCGAGGCGCATGTGCCGCTGGACGTGCTCAGGTGATTGCAACAGAGGGTGTAGAGGAAGCTAGAGCCTTCAGGTATTTGCCACCAAGGCCGTAGAGAAAGCCAGAGTGCACGCGCGCGCGGGGTCGCGTAGGGAAGCAGGGGAGGAGGCGTGGAGGGAAGGCGTTAGTTACAGCCATGCCACGGTTCCACTGCAGCCATGCCACGGGTTCCACTGCAGCCATGCCACGGTTCCACTGCAGCCATGCCACGGTTCCACTGCAGCCATGCCACGGTTCCACTGCAGCCATGCCACGGTTCCACTGCAGCCATGCCACGGTTCCACTGCAGCCATGCCACGGTTCCACTGCAGCCATGCCACGGTTCCACTGCAGCCATGCCACGGTTCCACTGCAGCCATGCCACGGTTCCACTGCAGCCATGCCACGGTTCCACTGCAGCCATGCCACGGTTCCACTGCAGCCATGCCACGGTTCCACTGCAGCCATGCCACGGTTCCACTGCAGCCATGCCACGGTTCCACTGCAGCCATGCCACGGTTCCACTGCAGCCATGCCACGGTTCCACTGCAGCCATGCCACGGTTCCACTGCAGCCATGCCACGGCTGCAGCAGCAGTAGAACAGGACGCACGATGCATGGCGCCATGCCATGAGGAATCGTGCGCGGGGGAATATGGGAGGCGGGCGATGGTGCAAAGACGTTGAATGAGGAGTAGCTGTGTGCTGCTGACTAGACATGTCTGTCTTGGGCGCTATCTTGCCCAACTAGACGTGTGCTTTGATGATGCTCATGACCTGCACTGCGTGTGTGCCTTGTGTGCTGCTGCTGCTGCTATTTCTGCTGCTGCTGCTGCTGCTGCTGCTGCTGCTGCTGCTGCTGCTGCTGCTGCTGCTGCTGCTGCTGCTGCTGCTGCTGCTGCTGCTGCTGCTGCTGCTGCTGCTGCTGCTGCTGCTGCTGCTGCTGCTGCTATTTCTGCTGCTGCTGCTGCTGCTGCTGCTGCTATTTCTGCTGCTGCTGCTGCTGCTGCTATTTCTGCTGCTGCTGCTGCTATTTCTGCTGCTGCTGCTGCTATTTCTGCTGCTGCTGCTGCTGCTGCTGCTGCTGCTGCTGCTGCTGCTGCTGCTGCTGCTGCTGCTGCTGCTGCTGCTGCTGCTGCTGCTGCTGCTGCTGCTGCTGCTGCTGCTGCTGCTGCTGCTGCTATTTCTGCTGCTGCTGCTGCTATTTCTGCTGCTGCTGCTGCTGCTGCTGCTGCTGCTGCTGCTGCTATTTCTGCTGCTGCTGCTGCTAATTCTGCTGCTGCTGCTGCTGCTGCTGCTGCTGCTGCTGCTGCTGCTGCTGCTGCTGCTGCTGCTGCTGCTGCTGCTGCTGCTGCTGCTGCTGCTGCTGCTGCTGCTGCTGCTGCTGCTGCTGCTGCTGCTGCTGCTGCTGCTGCTATTTCTGCTGCTATTTCTGCTGCTGCTGCTGCTGCTGCTGCCATTTCTGCTGCTGCTGCTGCTGCTGCTGCTGCTGCCATTTCTTCTGCTGCTGCTGCTGCTGCTGCTGCTGCTGCTGCTGCTGCTGCTGCTATTTCTGCTGCTGCTGCTGCTGCTGCTATTTCTGCTGCTGCTCCTGCGCGAGGCAGGTGTGTGGACGAGGGGCGCAATCCGAACGAGGTGACGAGGGAGCTGCTGCGGGGCTGTGTGGCGCACAACGCCACCACCAAGGGCAAGGTCGACGCCTTCAAGGTCCGCCACCCTCGCACTCTCCACCCCGCCTTCCACACTCGGGTTTTCCACGCAGTTCCACGCGCTTGCTTGCTTGGCCTTTCTGCAGAAGGCCGCGGAGGTTTGGAGAGGCAGCGGGGGGGGTAGCAGCCATTGGATGAATGCATGGGGGTGTCATGATGACAGCATGCTGGTGGGGGTCATGGGGGCATGCAGGCATTAGCGCATGGGGGCATGCAGGCATGAGCGCATGAGGGCATGAGAGCTTGAGAGCATGAAAGCATGAACGCAGTAGCGTATGGCACACCCAATCAACCGCGCCTTGCGTCTCCTCTCCTCTCCCCACCACACCCACCCGTCCTCGCCCCGCCCTGCATGCCTGGCGTGTGGCCACCAGGCGCTGCGAGCGCAGCTACTGAGTGAGATGGACCGAGTGTTTCCCGAGGAGACCGAGGCCTACCGCGACCTGCGCCTGCACTCCCTGCAGGCACGTGCCTTCCTGGGGTGAAGGGGTGGATGTGGGGGGGTTGCTCGTTCAAATAGAAGGAGAGCGGGGGGGAGCAAGCGCAAGCTGGGGGCATTGGAGGTCCTGGAGGATGCTCGTCCTGCTGCTGCTGCCGCTGCTGCCGCCGCTGCTGCCACCGTCGCTGCCGCTGCCGCTGTCGCTGTCGCCGCCGCTGCTGCTGCTCCTGTTGCTGCCGCCGGTGCTGCCGCCGCTGCTGCCCCTGCTTGTCTGCCTTTGCTCGCGCCTGCTTTTCGTTTTTCCTCCTACTCCCCAAACTTCACGTTCTTTCCCTTCATTACCAACCCACCATGTTCTCCTTTCTTCGTCGCCGTTTGCCCGTCCTCCCACTTGTGGCACTGACCTGTTGGGTTGAGCAGCTTGTGCGTCAGGAAAGGGAAGCGACTAAAGCAGCTGAGGAGGCAGCTAAAGCAGCAGTGGCAGCTAAGGCAGCAGAGGAAGCAGCAAAAGCGGCAGCGGCAGCGAAGGCAGCAGAAGAAGCAGCTAAAGCAGCTGAGGCAGAAAAAACAACAGAGAAAACAGTGGCAGATGAAGCAAAGGAGAAAGCACAGAAGGCAGGAGATGTGAGTGCGGATAAAGAGTGTGTGATGGAGGTGAATGGTGGCGGTGTGAAGGAGAGGGGCGAGGGAGCGGAGGAGAGGGGAGATGTGAAAAAACAGAACCAGGGGGAGGCCAAAGGGGTGTGTGGTGAAAGCGGTGTGCTTATTGCAGCTGTTGCTACCAATCCTGCTGCTGCAGCAGGTGCTGATGGTGCTGTGGGTGCAATGAATGCTGATGCTAGTGCTGTCAAGGCAAGTGGGCACGCAGGGCCAAGTTTGAAGACCGAAGACACTCTGAAGGCAGACGGGGGTGCCAGTAACAGGATTCCAGGGCTGGGAGCTGTGGCAGCACCAGCAGGTGCTGGGACACATAATCACGCTCGTGATAGCATACCTGGTGCATCGGCACCAGATGCAGCAGCTGCTGCTGCGGGTGCTTTTGCTGCGGCTGCTGCTTCTGCGGGTGCTCCTGCTGGTGCTGCTGCTGTTGGTGCTGCTGATGATGCGGTTGCTGTTCCTGGTGCTGGTGCAGGTGACGATGGTGATGATATGGAGATGGTGGAATGGGACGATAATGATGGAACGATGGATCAGTGCCTGTGATGCAATCAGGAGGAAGGCGTGGGAGCAATGTTTCCTAGTTCAGGCATACCAAAAAATGAATTGCCTCTACAGAACCATCATTGTGATCAGCCCATAACATACAGGCGAAACAAAGAAAATGATACGTGTGGGGCTCAGCACTCCCATGCACCTCTTTAGTTGATACCATAACATTTTGTGAATGAAACGCAATACTCGTTTAGCGGTTTTTTTGTTCCTTGTTTTCAGAGATCCACGTTCTCGGCTTGTGGGTGTTCGTGGCGCATCTAACGGCCGACTTTCGAGCTCTGCATCTGCCACTCCTTGGAACAATCTTCCTCCGCCACCACAGGCGGATGCGAGTAAGCGCAACGCAACGTTCCATTTGATGTTTAGCCAGAGAGGAAAGGAGGGAGGGCGGTTGCGCCTCCACACATGCCTAGGGTGCAAACCCCATCCAATCCCCAACGTACAAGACCTGTTGTTGCCTGTTTTCCTCAGAACAAACCCTCAATCGAGGGACCCATCAACCTCTCAACGCCCCTCTTCGTCTGATTTTACCAAAGAATTTCCCCTTTCCTGAATCCACATCTCGCCGCACTCACCCACTCTCCTCCCCGCTTCCCGTTTTCCCACCTTCCCCGCCTTTCCGCTTCCTTATTTTCCCGCGCCACCGCTTTCCCGCCCCCACCCCCCCCGTTCCCGCCCTTCCGCTTCCCCATTTCCCCGTTCCCCACCCTTCCGCTACTGCGCCACCACCCCATCCCTCCCCATCACCACCTTTCCCCCAACCCCATTGGCATTGCTGGCTATATTCACCTGCTCTCTCCTTCGTCCTCTACCCCAAAGCTGCGAGGTTTTGCTCCCTTTGGCCTTCTGCTTGTCGATCACATCTGAGGTTTGTTCCATTCTAGTTTGTGTCCACTGCTCTTCAAGAGAGGGTGCTAGAGCCTGTTCCTCGAGTATTTCCGATCTAGATCCTCTTACTTTCTTAAGCTACCATGGGTTCTGAGCGTGAGGACAATGTGTATCGCGCCAAGCTCGCCGAGCAAGCTGAGCGCTATGACGAAATGGTGGAAGCCATTGAAGATGTTGCTAAGATGACCGACGGAGCTGAGCTTTCCGTTGAAGAGCGTAACCTTCTCTCCGTTGCTTTCAAGAACGTCGTTGGTGCTCGTCGTGCAGCGTGGCGCATCGTGTCGTCGATCGAGCAGAAGGAGGAGAGCCGAGGACATGAAGACCGCGTAGCCGTCATTAAGGAGTACCGCGCTAAGATCGAGAAGGAGCTCGACGAGGTTTGCGGACGTATCCTGTCTCTTCTGGACACCACTCTTATCCCGGCTGCAAAGACTGCTGAGTCGAAGGTGTTCTATCTGAAAATGAAGGGCGACTACCACCGTTACCTCGCTGAGTTCAAGACTGGCGCTGATAGAAAGGATGCTGCTGAGGCAACACTGGCTGCTTACAAGGCAGCTCAGGTATGTGACCTTTGCCATGCATGTGTGTGAGATCTATGCTCCACGTCCTTTTATCAGCCTGTCCCATCTTTTGTTGGTGCTCTTTGCCCTTCTTAAATCGATCCCCATCGTGAACCTTGTTTTTTTCGGTTGCGTTAAGACTTGTGTTTCTGGCAGACTATTTAACGTCTTGCCGTATTACGTTATTTTATGTTTCGTTTTTCTCTCTTCTCGTTTTGCAGGACATTGCCAATGCTGACCTCGCTTCCACTCACCCGATCCGTCTTGGCCTTGCTCTCAACTTCTCCGTCTTCTACTACGAGATTTTGAACTCTCCCGAGCGCGCTTGCACTCTTGCCAAGCAGGTTAGAATTTGCCGTATTCGTAACTTTCTCTTCGTGCATTTTGTTTGTCCCTCTCGATGGAGGTGTAGATGATGGTCGTTCCTCTACGTCTCCCCTTCCGTCTTCCTCTCCTGCTCACTCTGGTTATTTGTGTAACATTAGCCTTTTTGATGCCCGCGTTGACCCTCCTTTACAGGCGTTCGACGAGGCTATTGCTGAACTCGACACATTGGGGGAGGACTCATACAAGGATAGCACGCTGATCATGCAGCTGCTGCGGGACAACCTTACACTCTGGACTTCTGATATGCAGGTGCGTAAATGATGAGTACATTTGCGTAGCCAAAAGTATGGTATTGCTCGGAATTGGCGTGCACGTTTTGTCTTGCCGTCATTGTATCCAGTTTGGTTGGTCTGCTCTGTTTCATGCTCTTGAAAAAATTGTAATTCATTGATGCAGGACGAGGCTACCGAAGAGAAGGCAGATGCTTGATTAGTGTTGTGACTCAAGGATCTAGGTTTATCCTCTTTTCCTGCATTTGCAGCCCTGTCATTCAGTAATAGCCGCCATGAGTGGGGAATCATTTATCTTGACGGGATTGTGGTGTGGATCTTTTCTGTCATGCATTTGCTGAAATCGTAGAACCATGGATATTACATTTAGTTCAAATTTCAGCGCTGTTCATGACCTCTGAGTTCTCTCCAGCATGCCGAAGCGGTTGCAGCGTTTGATGCACCCGCGATTGTGCCACCGGCTCGGTACGTTCACATAGAAGGTTGGGAGCGATGCGTTTATGTCACATAGAATCGATTCACACACGTGATCAGTTCAGCATTGAATCACTAAACGTTGAAGAAAACTGGTGGCAGAACACTACAGTTACACGCATTCGCGCTAAAGACGAGGCCAAATTTATTAGTCATGATTAGGTCAGGCCAGCCTACAGTTGCAAAAACGTATTTACAGCCACATTTTGGGAGCAAGGGACGGCAATACGCTGGGAAATGTGACTCGCAGACGTTAAAAGCACCGGGCGAAAAGGACAAGCACCTCCGACCGAAACGCGCTTTGTGAGATAAACGAATAACTGGGTGTACCACTCGTCAAAACTGCTGCGATCAAACGTTGATCATGGCCTAGGATCTAGTCAGGAAGGTTCGCACGCAGAGAAGTGATGTTGGTGGGCCCTTGACCTCAATAGCAGAGTGAATGTAAATGCTTGAGATGATTAAGACATGCAAATACAACGATATAAATAAGAGTACATGGGAATATGAATCGACCTAGCTAAGGGGTACATTCCCAACCGTGCGGCGCGAACAGTTACGAAACTGTTCCCGCCGAAACCATCCTTCCTGCAGCTGCCTGATGCTGTATGCTCCGACGGTTCAGATGCGTCCCAACTGTCTGACGCTTCGAGTCGTTTCCAACCGTCTGACGCTTCGCGTTCATTCGCGATACTGCGTGCTTCTCTTTGCTGCGGTGAGGAGTGCACAGTAATATTCAAGTATTACTATTCGTAACACCCCCCTTCACTCCTGGCCGCAGCTGGACTTGACCTGCTTGACCACGCCGTTGAGTTCGGAGTAGTGCTGATACTGCTGGCGTGGCAGTCGCTTCGTGAGGAAGTCTGCTGCCATGTCACCGGTCGGGCAGTAGGTCAAGTTGACCTTGCCCTTGTCCACCTCATCCTTCACGAAGAAGTACTGCAGCGCAATGTGCTTGGTTCGGTTGACGAAACCAGGTTTGTTCGCGATGCGAATCGCGCTCTGGTTGTCGCAGTGAAGGCGAAATGTGGGCGAGGCTGGAATTTTCGCCTCTTGCAGGAGCTCCTGCAAGTAGAGGCCTTCGCGAACTGCTGCGGTTGCTGCGATGAATTCTGCTTCGGCTGACGACAGGGCAACCAACTCCTGCTTCTGCGAGTTCCAGGAGATTGGTCCCGTTGGCTCGAGCCGGAACAGAAGCCAGTCCTGGACTGTCGATTATCGGGGTCTGCTGCGTGATCGGCGTCCACATAGCCGATGAGGTTGAAGGATGGAGTTGGTGCAGTTGAGTAGCACAGCCCAATCTTGGGCGTTGAAACGAAGAACTTAAGAGCGCGCTGCAGATCCAGGAGATTCTCAGCCGTTGGTTTGCGTGAGTACTGAGCCAGCTCACTGGCGATGTACGAGAGGTCTGGCCTGCAGGTAACGGATGCGAAGAGCAGGTATCCCAACTGCTGCTGGTAAGTCTGAATCCCAGCAGGGGACAGGGCTTTGTTGTCAGGCTTGTGGTTGGGTCCTGGAGTGCGGTAAGGGGTGGAGAGTGGTGTAGGTGCAATGTTGAAGCGCTTGCTAAGCTCCTCCGCATACTTCGCTGCTGAGAGATGAATGGCTTCCGGCGAGGAGGTGATGTTGAGTCCGAGAAACTGCTTCACGTCATGATTGCAAATGATGTCGACGCGCCCTGCGAGGCTTTTCTCAAACTGCTCGAGCAGTTCGTTGCTTGAGCCTGTGTAGAGAAGGTCGTCGACGTAGACCGTGAGGAGGATGTATTCGCCGCGGAAATCGCGGCGATATATTCCAAGATCGTGAGGCAGCTGCTTGAACCCGATTTCAAGCAGTATGTTGTGCACATACTGCTGCCAGAGTCTCGGTGCCTGTTTGATCCCATAGAGGGACTTGCGTAGCTGACAGACGCGTGGGTCTCCGTCGCCGTAAGTGTGTGGTTGTTCCACGTAGATTACGGCGTCCACAGGAACGCATTCTTCACATCGATCTGCCGGAGTGGTACGTGTCGTGCGGCTGCGATGGCGAGGAGAATTGTGACAAACGTGTGACGGCTGATCGGTGCAAAAGTCTGGTCAAAGTCGATCCCGTGCCTTTGGTCGTAGCCGCGCACCACCCAGCGTGCCTTGAATCGCTCAATCCTTCCGTCGACTCCTGTCTTCACTCGGAAGACCCATTTGCCGGAGAGAATCCTTCTCCCCTTTATTGCTGCACGGTCGACGAGCACCCAGGTGTCGCGTGACTCGAGTGCCCAGATTTCCGCGTCCATTGCTTCGCGCCACTCCTTGCTGCGTGGGCCTATGAGAGCTTGCCATGGGTTCTTAGGTCGATGATGCACGGAGCAGTGGAGATGGCAGCGTGTAGTCCAAGTAGCTGGAGGCCGGTGGCAGTGCTGTTGTGGCGATGTTGAGTGACGACATCCTGCACGTCGTCATCGTCGCTTTCTGGTTCAAGAGGCGCTGGTGGTGCTGTGCCTCTGCCGCTTCCGCCTGTTCCGTTTCCGCCTGCTGCGCCCATTCCCCCTCCCGAGGAATCGTCGTCGTCGTCGTCGCTGCTGCGTCGTTCTTCCCACACGATCTCGCCCCTCGTGTCCTGCTCCAAGATTGCTGCAGCAGCTTCATCTTCGGGCGTTGCGTAGCTGTGCCCATTGTTCGCGTAGACGCGGTTCGCGTTTGTTTCTTCGTCGCGGCGGAACTGATCGAGGAAGAGTCGCTCGTAGAAGATGACGTCTCGAGCGTGAGCGATTTTTTGACTGAGGAAGTCTAGCACGATCCACGCCTTGTACTCGTGACTGATGCCGAGATGGATCCCCCAGCGCGCGCGGTTGGCGAATTTGCCGGTGGTTGAAGTCGGCGGCCGGTATTGAACCATGCACCCCCCTACGCGCAACATGGAGGTATCCCCTTTGGTCCCGGTCCATTTGACGTGCGGGGACAGATTGCCGGTGATGGCGGTGGTCGAGAGTAGGTTGTGCACCCGTACTGCGTGGTGCATTGCGTAGGTCCAGTAGATCGGTGGCAATTTCGACTGCCTCATCAGTGCGCGCACCTTCGTCATTAGCGTGCGGTTGGTCCGCTCAGCTACGCCCTGCTGCTGGTGCGCGTAGGGGAGAGAAATGTGGTGCTTGATCCCCTTTTGCGTGAGGTAGGTTTGCATCTGGTTGCTCCTGAATTCTGCCGCGCCGTCAGATTGCCAGATTTTCAGCTTCTTCCCAGACTGTCGCTCTGCGTGCGCCAGCCAGAGGCGAAACACCTCGTAAGCTCTGTCGCGTGACTCCACGTTCACGACCCACACGTAGCGTGTTCCAGCGTCGATGAAGGTGAGCGTGTACATTTCGTCCTCGACTCCGCAATGCCCCACGTTCAGGAAATCGCTGTACGCCTTGTGTAGCTTGGGGTAGCGGTTCGTTCCAGGTTCGAGCAGCGGGAACGGTTGGTGGCTCAGCGCAACTTCGGGGCAGACGGTGCAGTTGCGCGGATGTGTCGCGCCTCTCACTTCGGAGCCATCAGGGTGCAGGAGTGCGCCAGGAGCGAAGACGCCTGCGTCGATGCAGTTTTTCAGCGTCGCGCGTGAAGGGTGTCCGAGGCGCTGGTGCCAGAGAGTATCGTTAGCGCGAAATCCGGAGGTGCGTATGTAGCGTGCTCGCGCTTCCTCAGGGTCTTCGTCAGGTACAGGAGCAGGTTCTGCTGCTACTCCCTCTACTTCTTCTTCTTCCTCGTTCGCCGTTGTTAGCATGAGGACGAGAAATTCTCTGTCGCGGATGATGGAGTAGGGGATGTTGGTTCCGGGGATTGTGCCAAGTACGAACGCTGGTTCGCGTGGTTCAGGGGCAGGTCCGTAGACAGTGCGACGCGGGGTTGACGGCTCGTTGCCCCAGATGATGGTGTCCCATGGATCGCGACGCGGGAGGTTGTCAGGAGGAGGTGGTGCGAGTAGAATGTGACGCGGGGGACGACCAAGAGGAACGAATGCAGGTGTTGCCTCAGTTTCCTCAGCTTCATCCTCTCCCCCCTTTCGTTCTTCGCGGAAAGTACCCCAGCCGCTATTGTCGGCGCTAGTTGCGGCGTCCCATCCGCCGCTCGCGTTGGCCCAGGTTCCGCCGGTGTCTCCCCGACCGCTAATGTTGTGGAAACAAAGAACGAGGATGAATGAACTAGGAATGAAGTCAGTACAAATATGAAACCCTAATTGGGTTGTACCCCCTATGGGATACCCCACTATAGCCTACACAAATAAGTAAGCTATGATGTTCTGACACACCCCCATAGGCAAAGTGGGGGAGAACAAGGGGTCACAAGACCAGTCAAGCAAAGCAAAGCAAAGCTCAGGGTGGATCACAAAGTCACCACACATTCCGAGCGCAAGGTCAAGGGCCACAAGGCCAGTTCGCATGCAAGATCATATATAGAAATATACAAGAGTCAAGCAAGCAAGAGCAAGAGTATATATAGGTGAAGGTACAAGCAAGGTCAAGAAGTGAGCAAGTGAGGCAAGACAGGCACAAGACCCAGCTGCGTGCAGCAACGCTGATGATCACAAGGCGCAAGTGCCTTGGTGAAGACATCAGCAGTGTTGGCCTCAGAGGCCACGTACGCAAGTCGCAACTGTCCACGCTGCTGCAGCTCACGAGCAAGAAAGTAGCGGAGAGCAATGTGCTTTGTCCTGTGCTCCAGTCGCTGCTCTCGACACAAGGCCAGCATGGCCTTGTTGTCTACGTACAGGACT